TACCGGGTGCAGCAGCCTCTCCGGTCCCGGCGACTCCGGAACGGCCCGGGGCTAGCCTCCCGGCTGCAAGTGACGGCCGGACGGAAGCCTGTGGGTGTCCTTCTAGGAGCTAGAGGCGCCGGGCGAGGGAAGAGAAGACCGGGGCAGCGAGGAGAGGGTCCAGGGAGGGCGACGGGGGCGGGGCGCCCAGGCCTTCGGAAAATGACTCCGGCCGGAAACACACTCCGAGATGGCGGTTCCCAGGCACTGAGCGTCCCCCCACTGCCTCCTCCATCCCCAAAAGAACCCAACCCACTGCCATGGGGTCGAAGCTAACTTAACTCAGCGACCCTTTAGGACATAGTAGAACCGCCCCATAGGCTTTCCAAGGCTGTAGATCTTTAGCAAAGCAGATTGGCTCATCTCTCTCTTGCAAAGAGGGTTGGAACCACTGACCTTTTGGTTAGCAGTCAAGTGTTTTAACCACTATGTCACCAGAGCTCCTCAATCCCCAACACACAGACGCACATCGGAGCCCAACATTGGTGTGCGGAATGTTTATTGAGCATTGGGTGAGGGTGCTGGGTGGAAGGGGGGATACAGAAAAGAACCGGAAGGTGCCCATGCGGTTTTGTCATCGCCGCCGCCCGGACGGGTGCCGGTCAGCACTTCGCAGACAAGGCTCAGAGAGGTCATGTCACTTGTGAAGGTTCACACAGCACAGCCCACTGGAACCCATTCCACAGGCCCAGGGAGGGCCAAAGACTTGGTCAACATCACAGAGCAAGGAAGGGGGTGTGGGGGAAATACGAGCTATGCGTCTGCCTTTGGAGAGATGGGGAAACTGCGGCCCAGGTGAGGCAGTAATCTCAGAACAGGGTGTGTGTGGGAGACGCTGTGTGGGCCGGGCGTGGTGGCCCGGGGAGGGGCAGCGCCGACCCGGCCTCCAGCGCCCCGGGCTCAGTGCAGGCGCACGTGCTGCGCCAGCTCGGCGGCGTCCTGGAAGCGGCGTGGGCACAGCGGGCAGGTGTGCGGCGGGCCGGCGCGGGCGCGGTGCGTGGCGCGGTGCCGCGACAGGTGGCTGGAGCGCTTGAAGGCCTTGCCGCAGGCGCCGCACGTGAAGGGCTTGAGGTCCGAGTGCGACACGCGGTGGCTCTGCAGCCGCAGGGGGCTCGCGAAGACGCGGGCGCACTCGGGGCAGCTGTAGCCCTTCCGGGGGCCGGCCTCTCCGGGGGGCGCCTCGCGCGGCGGCGGGCCCCGCGGCTCCTCCTCCAGCTGCACCGTGTACGTATAGGGGACCCCGTTGGCGTCGATGAGCAGGTGGCGGCCGAGCCGCGGGGGGCGAGACCCCGCCGCCGAGGAAGCGGTGGAGGACGGCCCTTCGGCCTTGGGGAAAGGGGGAGCCTTGGGGGGCGCTGGGTCCATGGCCTCCGGAGAGGAGGACCGAGGGTGGGGCGGCCGCGGCGGCGGCAGCAGCATCGGGAGCGGCAGCTGGGAGCGGCGGAGGGGAGACACGTTACAATCGCCCTTTCTTTTCCCTGACCGCCCCCTTCTCTCGGCTGGTTACCCCTCTGTGCCAAGGGCCTACCGCTCCCCAAAAGAAACTCGGTGGAGCCCAGATTTGAGCTCTGTGCAGCCGACTCCGGGACGCCGCAGCCGGGCCCCCACACCCCCGCCCTCCCTCCGGGCCATCGGCCGGGCTCCCTGCTGGCAGCGCTCTCACGCCCCAGGGCCCAGCGCGCTCGCCCCCGGAGCACTGCCGCGGCCTCCGTCCCCACCTCCCGGGCCTGTGGGGTCGGTTCCCGCCCGTGCCCGGAGGGCCGCGCCACTGCACACAGCCGTGGGCCTGCGGCCCCAGACACGCCCCTGGAGCCCCAGAGCCCGCTCCCGCCTCCCCTCTGCGCCGCCGTCCTGCGCCCCCTTTTCACCCCGTTCCACGTACACGTCCCTGCGCTGCCCCCTCCGCCATCCCCGGGGTCCCAGGACCCTGCCACCCACCCCTCCTCCGCCCCGCAGATGAGCCCGTGGCCCTGCGCCCCTCGGGGACCCTCCGACTCCCCGGGCGGCGCGCGGCCCCCGGGTCCCGTCTCCCCCTTCCTCTGGGCCCGGGCTGCAGCCCCCACTTGGCGTCGCCTCTCTGCATCCTCGGGCCCCGCCCCTGCCCTCGGACCAGCACGGCCCCTCCGCTCCGCTCCTGCAGAAGCCGGGGCCGCAGCCCTGTCCCCGCCGCACCCCGACTCCCTCCCGGCCCCCCACTTCTACTGAGCGCTCTGGCCGCGCCCCTCGGCGCCCCGCTGCACCCCGCCCCCACCCTGCGGGCCGCCGCGCCGTCAGCGAGCCCGGCCCCTCCCTCCTTCCCGGCCCCCGTACCCGGTGCGGCGGCCTGTCGCGTCCG